TTTTTTTTTTTAAATACTTATGATAAGAGCCCGTTAATGCATTAAAAAGACCTTCTACATTATTCTGTGGGGAAAGCATGAGGAAGATATGGCATAATAGCCTGCATATAAATAAACCGGAGTCCTTTGATAATGTCTTTCCTCCCCTCTTCCCCAAGTTGGGTTCATAGGAACTCCTGAAAGCGCAACCCTGTTATTCCAAAGTGTCACACTTAAACAAATACCAGATCTCCTGGGTCTCTGCTCTTTCTTTTCAACCAACTAGACCAGAACAAAGTAAGGTGAAGTAATAAGTCATCTGATGAATGTTCAGGGGCTTTTTATTAAATACTGAAGTATGAACTACCCGTAAGGAATTATATTGCACATTCTTCTTTCACCAAAATAGCATAAAGGAAGAAGAGATGAAAGGAAAAGGATGAAAACCAGGGAGACAAGGGCTGTGCTTCTTTTCCCTTCCTGTGAGAAGACAAAACAATGTGATGATTTCTGTTCTGGGGGTTTTGTTGTTGTTATGATACTTTGTGAAAAAAATGGAATCTTGAACTTTCTAGGACTGAATTAAAACCTGGGAATTAATGAATCTAAACACCTCTCCTTACAGTGCCTGGAATATACTAACGCTCTAACAATGTTAACCGTACATTTGCAACAGTCTTACAATAATTATTCAGTTTTATAGAATAAATCTCTAAAAGTAATCAATTCCATTTACAAATACCTAAACATCTTAAAAGACATTTATCAATTTTAAATATTCAGTATTTGTGTGAATTATATCAATTGCCTATGCCAGAAAATATAATACCCTAACAAGCAGACAACCTTTCCCAGATATTTGCATCACCTTTGAAAACTTATTTACTTACACACTGGGCTGAAGCAAATGTTATCAGTCTAGCAAAATCTCATACTGTTGATCTATTTAATAAAATTCTATTACATGTTTCAAAATATAGTTACATTTTAATTTGTAATCACAAGGGTAATTTAGCAGACCCTAAAGTCATCCTAGTCTCTTAAATATAACAAACAGTTGAAACACAAAATACACAGAGATTGTCCAAGCAATAAACATTTTTATCCACAAAACTAAAAGTGTTAGGGCTCTAACTTTGATTACTCTCATTTATTTCTGTTCACTTTCTCTTATTTCTGACAGATATATCTTCTTTGCCATCTCAACCATCCTTCTAAAATTCTGTCCCTGTTATGTTGTGTTGGACGATACTTGTGGTATTTTTCTGGGGCTCTAGAAGAAGATCTAGATGCCATCTTCTTCATAACCCATTATCTACTGGAACATTACATGTTTCTCCACACTGTTTCAGTAGTTTCCTACCTGCTTCAGTAGCTTCAGTGACTCTCCGTCCCCAATTTATGGAGTCAAAATTCTGTATACTCTGATTGACATAATTGGACTGTCTTTTCTGCTAAATTCTTCACGCGTATTCTATGTTTCCTTTGCACTGGACAAATGCATGGTGCCCATAGAGTCATACTCTTCCCCATCCATCCATCTTGTATTTGTTTCAGTAATGTTAACTGTTGTGACAAAGAGACCCCAAAGTATATAATGGCCCAAACACAGTAGAAGTTCATTTGCGGATCATATTATGGTGTTGACCACATGAACAAACCAACACAGCAGTTCTCATAGACCCTGGGTTGGCTGGCAGAGAGGGTGCCATCTTTAACATTTGGCTTCCAAGGTGGCCCTGGAAGTTGTCTCCAGCCAGCTAGACAGAAAACAAAAAGAGCTTGGAGGAAAAGGCAATAGGGAATTAGATGAGCCACACCTGTGAGTAGCTATTACTTCTACTCACATACTTGGTTGTGAAGAAACACCACCCTGCAAGCGGACCTGCCCAGGATATGAGGAACAACTAGTGTTCTCTACTATGTCTTTCTTCATCTTTGAATGCTTTTCCCCTCCTTGGCTATGCTGAACTCTGAACCATTAGCTATGGTTTGGATCCAGTGCTAGACTTTCTTTAATTCTTGCTTGCTAACACCATTTATAAATGATCTTTTCATAGATAGATAGATATAAATCATATATATATATATATATATATAAAATAAGGTATTGACTCATGTGATTATGTGTGTGTGTGTGTGTGTGTGTGTGTAAACAAAGTTCATTGTGTAATATTGATGCTTTTTAAAAGTCAATGCACCAGTTTCTCTAGCCATAGTTACAGCTTTGAATTTACTCAGTTTTGTATACAGTAATCTCTGCTTATCCTGCAGAAGCAAACTAACCATGCCCTTATACGAAATGTTTTTCCTTTACTGTGTTGAATAGGAATGGTGACAGTGGGCATCCTTGCTTGTTTCAGTGCTAACCAGAGCAATCATGCAAAAGAAAGAAACAAAAGGCATCCAAATAGGAAAATAAAAAGTCAAACTATCTCTCTTCATTGACATGATTTTATACCTAAAAAACCCTAAAGACTCTGCTAAAAGTCTCCTAGATCTGATAAACAACTTCAGAAAAGTTTCAGGATATAAAATCAATGTACAAAAATCGGTAGCACTTCTATACACCAAAGATGTTCAAGTTGAGAGCCAAATCAAAAATGCAATCCCATTAACAGTAGCCACAAAAAATATGAAATACTTAAGAATACATGTACCTAAGGAGATTAAAAATATCTACAAGGAGAACTACAAAACACTGCTAAAGAAATATCTGACACACAAAAAAAATGGAAAAACATTCCATGCTCATGGATTGGAATAATAGTATCATTAAAATGGCCATACCTCTTAAAGCAATCTACAGATTCAACGCTATTCCTAGTAAACTACCAATGTCATTTTTCACGAACTAGAAACACTATGTTAAAATTCATATGGAAACAAAAAAGAGCCTGAATAGCCACAACAATCTTAAGCAAAGCTAGAGGCATCACATTACCCGACTTCAAACTATAAGGCTACAGTAACCAAAACAGCATGGTACTGGTACAAAACAGACACACAGACAAATGTAACAGAATTGATAACTCAGAAATAAAGCTTCACACCTACAACCATCTGATCTTCCAACAAAATCAACAAGAATAAGCAATGGAGTAAGACCCCCTATTAAATAAATGATGGTGGGATATGCAGAAATTTGAAACTGGACTCCTCCATTTTATCATATAAAAAATTAACTCAAGTTGGAGTAAAGATTTATATGTAAATCCTCAAACTCTTAAGAATCCTAGAAGAAAACCTGGGAAACATTATTCTGGACATCAGCCTTGGGAAAGAATTTATGGCTAAGCCCTCAAAAGCAACTGCAACAAAACCAAAAATTGACAAGTCAGACCTAATTAAACTAAAAGGTTTCTGCACATCAAAAGAAACTACCAACAGAATAAACCGACAACTGACAGGACAAGAGAAAAATAGGCAAATTACACATCTGACAAAAGTCTAATATTCAGAATCTATAAAGGAACTAAAACAACAAGCAAAAAAGAAATAACCCCATTTAAAAATGGGAAAAAGATATGAACAGACATTTCTCAAAAGAAGACATACAAGTGGCCAACGAACATGAAAAAGTGCTCCGCGTCAGTAATCATCAGAGAGAAATGCAAATCAAAACCACAAGGTGGTATCATCTCACACCAGTCAGAATGGCTATTATTATAAAGTTTAAAAAAAAAAAAAAAAAAAAACTTTGTTTTACTCATAGCTAAGTGAGAAAAGGCAAAGCTGTGGAGAAAATGGGACACTTACACACTGCTGGTGGGAATGTAAAAT